CTGTCCTGTCAACTGCTAGCTCCTGCTGCTGTGCTGCTACTGCTGCTACTGCCTCTCAGAAGCCCATACGGATACCTACGAATACTCACTCGTGCTGGCTGCGCGTGTGGGGGGTTTCCCTTGGCCGCCCACATGCAACATGCACCCAGAGTTGCGTCTCCCACCCACCGTAACGCTGTGCCTTTGAACACAACGATATCGCTGTTCTGTCGGTGAGGTACACGCGAGATTGCAGTGTTTTGTGCCTGCTCGTCAAGTACCCTGCCCACCTAACCCATGTTGGTTTCTCTACGGTGACGGTGCCTCTGGAGTCCTGGACTGAGAAACAGAGGCGCGGCGGTACGTACACCACGATGGTAAGTGACTGGCTGGTTGCCGGCGTCTCCAAACAGCTACTGCAGGCCGGGCTGATCGCCAAACTCCAGCTAAGGAACGGTACCGCAACGGCGCAGTACTACGAATGCCTACTGCTTTCCACTTCTTTTCCCAGCCACTCACTTCTCCAGCGTTTCCCCCCTCGGACGGACCGGTGGGAGAAGGGGAACGAACGGTAGGCGGGAGCCAAACGGGAGACGCGAGGCTGCCACTCTGCTTCCGGCCCTGCCTGTCTACTGTACCTCCAACCAAGTCAGTCGTCCGTCCGACTTAACAATACTATGGATGTCATCGTCCCGGCTCGCACTTACACCGTCGCTTCGCTTGCTCTCCACGTCCATCCAGACGTCGAGCCGGAGTCGAGTCACCATCTTGCTCGCTCAAGATGGCCTAGTCATCCCTAGAGAGCAAGCCGGCCGTCTCGATCCTCCCCCAATCGCATCACCGTTGCCTCTGCGACTGTCACTGTTGCTTCTGCTCAGCAACTGTGACGACTAGTGCCTCTGCTTCGGCTGCACATCACCATCAACAATAACACGCACACAAAGAAAGAAAGAAACAGTGGCTGGCCTTTTTCTCACGTCTCATCCTCCCTCTAGCTAGAAAATCTATTGGCCGGCCGCGCAACGGTAACCGCAGCCGCAACCGCATTTACAACCGCAATTGCACGTCGGCAAACCACCAAGCCCTCTTTTTTTGCCCAGTACCAGAAAACATCCTGGTCGTCCCTTTTGCCGTTCTTCAATTCTCATGTGGTGTCGACTGCTACTACACCTTGACGTTACCACAAACTCTACCTCCTGCAATTGCCCTGCTCGCGGGTACTGGTAGCGGTTATTGCTTCATTCAATACCTCATTGCAGTCGAATATCACATTCGAGTCTGATCAGTAAACCCGTTCACCTAAACTACACCTTGCTTCCAACCCCTCGCTTGGCTGCCATCGAACATCTCAGGACGGCCGTCCGTGTGCACCACCATACGTCTACACCTTCACACGCCTCTTACCGTACGCCGCGACAACCTTGTTCACATTTGGACCCGGACCTGTTGAAGCTCTGAGATCTCGGCCCCCTCCGCATTATCCCACCTTCCCACTGCCATCATTCAACCTCTCCTCCTTCCGAAGGGGGGCACCCCGACTTGTCCGTTCTCACAGCTCCAGAAGCCGGCCGTCAGCAACGTCGTGGAAAAAGAAACGCCCTCACATCTCATCTTCAACCGCTCGACCTCACTCACAGACGCGCTCCCCAACCGTCACCTCAGCCCTGCTGCTTCTCCATCCAAACAACATCCCAACGCCCAGGGTCCCCGACCGAACCTCGTCACCACGGTCTTTTTTGTTTTTGATCAGATCTCTGTTCTTTTTTCCCTCTGCGACGTAAAGCAAACTTATCACCGTCTTTTATAACACACATACGCAATTACCAACGACTCAAATCTCTCTCACGGACAGCCGATCCGAGAGGAGAAACCCAAAGGGGCCCTTGCAACCGGCATACCTAGAGCGTCTCATCCTCTCTGTGCCGCCTCGACCGGTCACATCTATACCTTGCTTCTTCGGTCGCTGCTTGGAGTTGCGTCTCTGGCCCCATTGGCCTACATCATCTCTCCCACTCCGGAGCCGGACGGATACTCTCTTCACCCCTCTCCTTGAATCAGCAGTCCGTCTGTCTCTTCTTCGTTTTTTCCTGCCTGGTGCGCGGTTCGAGCGCGCTTTTGCTTCCCGGCAACGACATCAGAAGCAGGCGCTGCTCTGCACAGCACGGCCGGTTCTCACAGTTGCTGCGGGTGAGTGATTGTGCACTTGCAGCTCACTATTCGTCATCTTTCTCTCGCTCTCTCTCGCTCTCGCGAGTCGACTCACTCAATCCGTCACGATCTCCAAACCTCTTGGCCCAGAGGGACGGATTTTGGCTCTTCCCCCTTCCCATACCCAAAAACAAAACAGACCAGAACAACATCGAAGACTGTCCGGCTTCCCTTCATTTCATTTTCGAGCTGCCAAAACAACACATAATATATTTATATCGAGGGCCATTCCGTTTCGAACTCCAGCGACCTGACGCACAGAACACTACTTCTCCGTTCTAAAGATCGCCACGCCCGCAGGAGCTAACCCACCAACTCACCTAGGCACTGGCGTGTGGTCTCTGTGCTCTCTCGGTTGATCTAATCAATTTCTGTAGCAAGCCAGGCCGGCCTTACCTGGCCTGCCAGCGCTCGAGCGTTTCCACACCCAAGCCAGGGCCGCCGACGAGGACGAGGGGGTGACGACTAGGTACGACGACGGCCACGGTACGGTACCGTAGTAAAGAGAGGGTACGGTACATGCCAAAAGTCACTCGACCTCCTCGCCCTACCCTGTCCCGCAGAGTGCCGTTCAGAGTACCTGACCCATCCTCTCTCTTCTCTTTTCGTCCTGCACCATCGAAAATAAGAAAGGTCTCCATCTGTACTACCTCAGGTACCTTACCCAAGGGTGCACCTCACTCCACGCCTCCACAGCTCCCCTTATCCCCCTGCCCACAACCCATACCCATCATACCCATACCCTCCTTCCAGGGCCCCCTGGGACTGGCAAGCCTACCCACTCACTCCAGCAGAGCAAGAGAGAGAGGGAAAGAATAGCACCACTTCTTTTGGATGCTGTGCTATATTGCTGCCGATAATATATACCTTCATCAGAACGCCTCACGTCGTTCTCTCATATAGCAACGCCTCCACGATAATCTTTTTTGGCTGGCTCCGGGCGTCGACACTCTCCTCTTCCCTTGTAGTATAACATAACCCACAACGGCTTCTCTGCCTATATACCTTGGCTGCACACACACACAATAGTCACAAACACACGCCATCTTCACCTCATCTCAACTTTTCCCACCTTGTTTCGTTTCCTACCAGCCAACACCCGCCGTTGCTTGGACCTGACCTCGTCTTGTGCCGAGCATATCCTCATCCTTCTAAACCGCCGCAGACAACAACAAGTCACAACTCTTACTTGTTACTGCTCACTCTCATTCCTGCTGGCCATCGTCATCATCATCCCTCACATCCTTCTCATCACGATCCGGGAAGTTGTTGACTCCAAATATACTCGCCGCAACCACGACCACCGACACCAAGGTTTCTCCATTCCCGGCTCACCGTCGTCGACACCTGCAACATCCCGGCTTTCGCCCCAAGTAGCTTCATCGCCACGGATCAACCAGCAACACCGCCGTTCCGACACGAGGAAAGAGCTTGAGAGCCTCAGACGTTCTTCCTGGTCCTTCCTTCGGCCCCCCACTTGGGTGATTCTCGCGGTCCGTCTGTCTAGGCCATCTTTTTGCAGTGGATCCTATTCCATTCCGGAGACCATCAAGAGCTCTGTGCACACTTTTTGCGCGAGTCGTTGAGAAGAGAGCTTGGAAAGAATAGAAGCAAGGAAGCTGCCGGTAGAAGAGTCGAGTTTGTTTCTTGTCATCCAGACACCCCCTTCGAGGAGCGTGTGGGAGGAAAAAGAAGAAAAAAACGACGCCAGTCGTCCAAGATCCCGCTTGGTCTCCCGTACCTGAGCGCTCAGAGGCTCGACGATCGCATTGTTCCTGGTGGCCACCATTATGCTTCTAGTCTCGGAAACTTAACACACGCCGGCCCTCGACACTTGGACTTCGAAACAAAATACACGGCAAGCCAGCCCGAACTTGGTTCACCCTTCTTATCTCACCTTCTGCCCGAAGAAGGGATTGTCCTGCAAGCAACATCAGCACTTCCCACCAGTTTGCGCTCGACCACTCGCAACAGATCCTCCAGTCAGGTGGCTAATTTTCATCGAAGACGGAGAATTTTAGTGCCTGTGCACCAGGACCCTCTTACCATCTGGTACGTCCACACTTGTGGCTGTCTTAAAGAACCTACTTTCCCACCCGCTATGAACTCATTCTACCCTCTGGCCTTCACCAGTTCGTCGTACCTTGGGTTATCTTGAGCTGATCGTTTCTTCCAGCTTCACTCCCCCGTTCCTCTCTTTCCCTCTCCTTCACACACACTCTCTCCGTACCTCAACACAGAGGAGTGTCAGCTTCTCCGTCACCGCCACCGCCTGATTAATACCACACACCCCCCCCAGCTCAGGCCTCTTCTTCTCTCTTATCATCCGTCCATCTCCCCCTCCTTGTTCTCCCTTCCATCTACATTCAACGTCTTGGACGCCTCTTCGTCTTCAGCTTCAGCTTCAGCGCTTCGAACATTGCTCAACTTCGGCAACCTTGCGCTGGACGCCGCACCGTTCTTGTCTCAAGTCGTCGACCTCCTGTTTCTCGGTTCAAATTCTCCACCCTTGCCCTTCTCTTCCCAAGGCCCGTCCTTCCTTGAACAACGATTCGGGAGTCTGCAGACGGAGAACCCGCATTGAGCGTCCCGCTTAAGCAACATTCCGAACCGGGGTACCATATTACATACATCAACCCACGCCACCCTTGCTTCTCTCTTCTCCGGGCCACCACAACCAGCCCTGGTCTTCATCACCCGATAATTCAAGACATCCTTTAATATCCTCCGCCGCGGCACTATAAGTAGCACGACTACTGCACCGGTCCGCATCTTGGTAATTCGATCGACACCAGAAACAAAATCCCAAAGAGATGGAACTCATGGAGCTTGTTGAGAACGAGCCTACCGCTCGCCCCTTCCAGTGCGACTGGCAGTCGTGCAACAAGGTGAGTTTCCAGAACTCGGGGTCACTCGACCCTGCGTCCTCCCTTCCGCCTTGCCCCGTCTGTGGACGGATTCTAATCTTGACGCCTTTCCTATAGAGCTTCAACAGGAAGTCCGACTTGCAGAGACACTACCGCATTCACACCAACGAGCGTCCCTACTCCTGCACGACACCTGGCTGTGGCAAGAGCTTCATCCAGCGAAGTGCTCTCACTGTCCACATTCGTACTCACACCGGAGAGAAGCCGCATCAATGTCAGCACATTGGTTGCGGGAAGCGCTTCTCTGATGTATGTTTCCCCAATACTTCTTGGAAGATGAATCCCGTACTGACTTCAGCAGTCCTCAAGTTTGGCCAGACATCGCCGCATCCACACTGGCAAACGCCCGTACAAGTGCGCACACGATGGTTGCCTCAAGAGGTAGACTTCAAATCATCCATCCCTCCATCCTGTAAGAGTTTGACACTAATCAACCTTACAGCTTCTGCCGCAAGACCACCATGGTCAAGCACCAAAGAAGATCTCACCAGCGTGGCCTTCACCCCAACGAGCTCATGGACGACTGCACCTCGGACTCTGACAGCGGCGAGTCACCTTCGACCCCGAAGCACGCAGGCATGCAGTGGCCTCCTCAAGGCGTCATGGCCATGAACCACCCTGGCATGCACGGCGGCCACGCCATGCACCGAGCCGCCTCCTTCGCCGACTTCGGACAGCACATGAACGGCTACCCGATGCAGCAACAACCCCAAGCCCAGTACGGCGCTCACCGCCACAGCCTTTCATCAGGCGGCGCCCATGAGTTCCACGGCCAGCCCGTCCACGAGCAGCAACACCCCGGTGTGCAGATGCTGCACCGAACCGCGAGCATGCCCCAGCATTCGTACTACGTGACGGAGCAGAACAACCCGGGGGTTGCCACCATGAACACGAACCCCATGCAGAACCAGTATGGCCAAGTGCCCCGGCAGCAGCAACCGCAGGTTGACATGCCATACTCTGCCGCTGGTATGAACCAGTCAATTCAGAGCAGCCCGAGTAGCTTCTCGGCAGCTTCGGGTAGGAGCCCATCCTCCCAGGAAGGGTTTTACACTCACCAACCAATTCAAGCAGCCACGTACGCATTGCACAATGCCTCCCCCGTCGTCGAGCACCAGCAGCCGGGCATGGTCCCCTATCCGCAACAGATGCAACAGCAGATTCATACCCCCCAACCGATCCCGACGCAGGCGCCCGCGCCGCCTCCTCAACAGCAGGTCCCGAGCCAGTACGCGTCCCCAACACCCCAGGCTCAGCCCGAAGAGTACTGGAACGGCGTTCCCTACCAGGCACCGGTCGAGGTTGCCACGATCGGCCAGCTCCCGACGTACGGCTCCGGCGTTTACGACCCTTGGGGAGGGCCCAAGATCGAGTTCGAGGACCCGTCGATGCAGCTTCCCTCAGCACGGATCGAGAACCTGTAGGCCACGATATCGTGACTCGACTCTGGCGCTGCTGCCGCCCTCCACCATCAAACCTCGTTCTTCCCGATACATAATCACCGTTCCTCCGCGGAGAGCCCTACTTCGGGCGACCCGCCTGTACCAACACCCTAAAACATGATGGCGATTTGATTTTTTTTCATATTCCCCCAACTCGTTGAATGCAAGAGAAGGAGATACCACGCGGGCTCCACAGAACCGAGCTGTCGTCGACTGTTGAAAGAGAGCGAACTCTGGATTGGTCTAATGGGCACTGAGCCACACAGCCCCCTCCCTGTCTGTCGTCCGTTCGTTGGCTTGACGGTACTGGAAAGAGAAATTAAGGGAACAGAAAAGTCCAACTGAACCCCAAAAGCATACATTGGTGGTAATTTGTTTTTTTCTGGGTTTCAACACCCTCGCCCAGCACAACACATTGGCCCTCGCCGGCCGAGACGTCTGAGTAATTATTCGTCAAGAATAAGAACTGCTTCGAACAAGGGACGGGATGATACGCTCACGCATACTCGCACCCGCCCTTCCCGGGTCATCGGACCTTTCCGCTTCGATTCCTCGCCTCGATGGTCTCGCAGGCCGTTTTTGTTTTCGCCTCGAGGCAAAACCGTTTCCTTTGTCAGACAACATACGATTACCCCTGGACGTCGACCATGCGCGCATCTGAAATTTTCTGTTGGGATATATCATTAGGAGGCCTGTTTGTGCTTTTTTTTGCTGTTTTCCGAATAATTTGTTCTGGGTTGGGTGGTGGGGCCATTGGGGATTTGATACTTTGAATAGGGGAGCTCCGGTACTGGCGGCGGTTTTTGCTGTCTATTAATACTTTCTCTTTCCATACTTCTTTCCTTTCCCTCATTTTCATTTTCATTCTTTCTCGTGGAGGACCAGGTTGACGAGTTCGTCGACTCTGGGCTCCCTCGATGACATGACGCCATGAAAGCAAACCTGGAGCATAACAACCGGAGCTGGGGCGGAGAAACGGGGCAGGGGAAGGAGAAACATGTTGGGGAAATCATTTTGACGATATCCGAATATTTGACGGCCCTTTTTACCCACGAACCTGGATGGGGAAGAAACCGGAAACGGGTGATGTGGGAGGATGTATTTCATAATGGTGGATGAACCGGGGAAAAGGGGAAGGAGGTATAAGGGGATGGTCAAGAAGATGGGGAAAACGCCTTGATACACGATAGGCTTTTCGGTCGGGTCGGCAAAGTTCTTGTTTTGCTCTCTCCTTGGAAAACAAAAACCATTTCCCTGTAACAACAATACGAAGTCGACGATACTTTTCTGTCTGGCGGCGGCGGCGCATTCCCTAGAACAAAGCGGGTTGTATTCGGAGGTGGTGGCCAGGGAAGGCACATGAGAGACGGGGAAGGCGACGACCTTACTCTCAGAAAGGGGTGGAAAGAGACGAGGACGAGAAAGGCTTTGGTTGTCTATATGTATTCTTAGTGTTCCTCGTTTCTTGCTGTCTTGGTTCGGCTTTTGGTTATTTTGCTCTCTCTGGAATGCCGGGAAAAGGGGGCACGGAAATGAGCAACAAAAAGGATAGTTCTGGAAAGAAAACCGCGATACCTGTAGCCGGGACAAAAATAAAGAATCTGTCAATGAATGTTTACATCTCTCGAGGAGCGTGCTGTCTATATGAGTGAGAGATGAGCCTGAAGGCGGGGGCGCATGATGAGTTCGATTTTAGCCTGTTGGTATTTGGTGATGTTAGTGCCGGGTGAAAGAGTGCGGTTGACACGTATTCGTGCAGATGAAGCGCCGTGGGTGAGGTGTTAGCTTGGGTCGTTTGTTTGGTTCCGGTGGGAGAGCAAGGCCGGTTTGATTTGAGCGTTTGGAGGATGAGATTATAGCAAGTGACTACTGCATGGGAAGATGCTGGCGTGAGTGAGGCAGCTTCGTTGACCGGCATAGTTTTTTTTTTTTTGGGTGTCTTGTCGATGGGCAACTTGAGGACGATGGGTTGAAGGGGTTGTCCGGGAATATGAGGAATGTCGGCCGTTGCTAGGTCGACTCCATACTGCATATGCCGTGGAATGTAGAACAGAAATAGTCGTGTAAGTGGGCGGCGGCGTGTTGATGAAATCTGACGACGTTATGAAGGCAGGCTGGACCGGGAGAGCCGTGAACAGGGGAGGTGGTTCTGGGGCTGAGGCGTCGGGTTTTCCGAGTCGATGTAAGAGTTCGGTTGAAGTGATGCTCGATATCTAGATCGTCAAGCGATAGCCTGTTGTCGTCAAGGCCGCCGACAACCAGTGTTTTCGCATCGAGCGATCATTCACGGTTGTGAGAGAAGTGAGGGGATTTTGGGCAAGGCAGAAGTGCAGAAAAGCGGCGTGGTAAAAGAGGAGGAAAAGCCGGAGATGATGTGTAATATGAGGAGGGGCGCAACCTTGACGGAGCAGCGCGCGGCGGGCGCGTAGATTGATGGCTTTTTGGGTGATGATTGATCTGCGCCGTCTGGCTGAATCCGGAGGGATGCGTGCATTTGTTTGGCGGTGATGGACTGGGGGGTCTCACCTTGTTCGCTGAAGGAAATTGTGTGATTGGTTGTAAGTCTTGGGTAATTATGGCCAATCAGATGTGTTTGTGTCGACATCACCCATGGTCACGGATGAGAAGGTAAACTTATTCTTCATAATTACCATTGCCTTACTCTCCATACTCAAGCTCATTTCTGCAAGTGTTAACTCTCAAGCTTCGCAAAGCTCGAGATGCTGTGTTGTCTCATTTGACAGCTGGATATCAGCCAATGGCGCATGGCCCATTGAGGCCTTTGCCCCTGTTCATCTTGAAATGTCCGTCGGAACAGCCTTCTTCCGTCGTCCCGGGCACATTCTAGAATGCACTACGTCACGTGGCCCCTCTTTGCGCTCGCTCAGCAGGAGCAGAGCAGCGCGCGCTCCCCGGTCACGGCGGCGTCTCGGAGCAGGGAAAAATTCGGAAGGCAGCGACGAACCTGGCGTGGTCCCTCACCCTCAGGCCCCAGCACCACCACCTGCCCGCCCGCCAGCAGCAAATCGAGCAAAGCAGGCAGGGTGCAATAACGTCAACTAGCGCATTTCGCCTCAACGTATCCATATCCGTCCACTTTCGGTCTTTGCCGCGTCGCCTCTCAACAAGACGATGAATAGCCTGCGGTGAACCATGTCATCTTCATCACAAGCGCAACTCCAAAGACGTCAATAGTAGAAGATCTTTTTCTCTTGCTATTCTCCTTCGCGGAAAGGGGCGCTGTTGCTCCGACGAGAGAGTCTGTCCGTACTGCTCTCTGCATCTGACAAACACCCAATTCGACCACATACACCTCTCCTGGACTGCGCCATCAACCGCATCTGCCCGTCCACCTCCGTGAGGCAATCATGGCCTTACGCCCAGCAGCGCTGGCACTCGCCAGCCCGCTGTTTCGGCGCGCGGCAATGCAGCCCGCAACGATGCAGTCGGTACTCAAGCTCGCAACCTTCTCCGCCGCCCGCCCGGCAATTCCCTCCTCTCCCATGAAGGCAACCCTGGGCCTCGGCCTCGCCCTCCAGCAACGACACCTCGGAACGAACCACGGAATCTCTCGCAACCTTCTCGCCAGCAGAGAGGCGGCTGCTAACAGGAACCCCCAAAGCGCCACCGCGCAGACCGCATTCTACCAGCTCCTCCTCAAGGCCAACATGCCCGCCATCGTCATCGAACGCTACAACTCCGGCCGCTTCGCAACCAACGACGCCACCGACCAGGCCTACAACCAGGCCCTCGGCATGCAGAGCACTGCTGCTGTCGGCGGTCTCGGCGGTCTCGGCGGTCACGATCACCTCCCCTCCGCGTTCGGCAACGGCGGCCACGAGATGAGCGGCCAGGCCGCGACCCCGACTGGCAACGGCAACCTGTCGCAGGCTCAGCTGCAGGCGGTGGGTCAGGCGCTCGCCGCCCGCTCGCGCGACTCCAATATGGCTATGGCGAAGGTTTCTGGTAACGGACAGACGGGCCCGCTGCACGTTGTTGTTGACGAGTCCTTCGGCGGCGTCGTGTTCCGCTGGATCAAGTTCATCGCCTGGTTTTGCCTGTTCACCTACCTTAGTCTTGTCGCTGTGACGATGCTGGTCGAGGGTCTGAACCTGTTCAAGCGTCCTGGTGGCAAGGTTGACAGCGAGACCAAGGCCGAGAACCAGACTACCCGTTTTGCCGATGTTCACGGTGCCGACGAGGCCAAGGACGAACTGCAGGAGCTCGTCGAGTTCCTTCGCAACCCGGACAAGTTCTCTACGCTCGGCGGAAAGCTCCCCAAGGGTATTCTGATGGTTGGCCCCCCCGGTACTGGTAAAACTCTTCTCGCACGCGCTGTTGCCGGCGAGGCTGGTGTTCCCTTCTTCTACATGTCTGGCAGCGAGTTCGACGAGGTCTACGTCGGTGTTGGAGCCAAGCGTGTTCGTGATCTCTTTGCGTCGGCCAAGTCCAAGTCTCCCGCCATCATCTTCATCGACGAGCTCGACGCCATTGGTGGACGACGCAACACCAGGGATGCCGCATACCACAAGCAGACTCTCAACCAGCTTCTCACCGAATTGGACGGCTTCGAGCAGAACAGTGGTGTTGTCATCATCGCCGCGACCAACTTCCCCGAGCTCCTCGACAAGGCCCTTACCCGACCTGGACGATTCGACCGCCACGTCACCGTGTCCCTCCCTGATGTCCGTGGACGTATCGCTATTCTGAAGTACCACGCCAAGAAGATCAAGGCCGCCCCCGAGATCAACTTCGAGGCCATCGCCGCAAGCACTGGAGGTCTCTCTGGAGCCGAGCTGGAGAATATCGTCAACCAGGCCGCTGTCCGCGCGAGCAGACTCAAGGCCCAGACTGTCAGCATGAACGACTTTGAGTGGGCCAAGGACAAGGTTATCATGGGTGCTGAGCGCAAGAGCATGGTCATTGGACCGAAGGAGAAGGAGATGACTGCTTACCATGAGGCTGGCCACGCCCTGGTCTCC